GTGAACCGCTGTATATGAAAGCCGCGCATGCCGTGATGAGCTTCCTGCTGATCGCTGCGTATTTCAGCATGATCGTTCGATAATTTGGATCGTGCACCGTTTTCCAATCGTTCCTCACGTGTTGAATACATCGTTGAAAGAATTGTCCCTTTGTACCAAGGTAGCAGTACTTGATCGCAGACAAGAAACAGAAACTAACTGGCCCGAGCATTTTCACTTTCATGTTCGTATTTTTCTCCACGAAGATGATGTGATGAAACGATGGTAAGACGACGAACAGCAAACTAGAGAAACACGCGTTTATCAGAATGATCCAGACGAGCTGTTCCAGTTTACTTCTAGTGTGACTGTTAACGAAAGGCCATATTCCGATTACTTTGAACAGCCATTCGTACATTTGTAGCGTGTAATGTATGTCTTTGTCATAATGGACGTTTCTCACTTGTCCGTCAACTCTGCCGTATGATCGATCACGCATACTGACGGCTCTGATGCACAAAGGCGACTGATCCACGGGATAGAAACGTTGTGACAGGGCATTGTCAGAACGCAAGCGCGTGTCGTTTTATTTCGGTGAACTTCAGCCATGTTTCATGAATGAAGGAAGTAGATGCGAAGGGGAAACTTTTGTCGATAATAGCAGGTTTTTTTTGTCTGTTATAGGTTTTACATTCGTAGTAGAAGAGATCGAGTGAAGTTACAGTATAGAGAAATCATTCGAACAATAAGTACGTGTTTGTCCTTAGTTTTCTTAAATTTTCTAACAGTGATTGAAATCTTAAGTTTTCTGCTAATGAAAGGAATAAGTTTCTTTTGTCGAACCGTGCCTTGTATATCTGTTTTCCTTAAAAAGAAATAATATTTTTCAAGTCAATTAATCGTCCATAAAAATTGCAGCTCTGGATATGTGACATCAAGATTATCTTCGGAGAATAGTGAAGAAAAAAGTAAGTATAAAAAGAAGAGAACTGAAATAAAATTTTATAAGTTCAGTTGAATTACTAATTCATTATTTAATGTCATAAGATTTACCCTTCGAATATTTATTATTTAATTTTTTTTGCTGTGTTTACATTAGAATCTAACATTAAAGTAATTCAGGAATAAACTTCGGATTTTCTCCAGAAAATTAAGCAGAACTATGTAGGGCTCAGGTACAGCTTCAATCTAGAAAATTATTTTTACAATAATAAAACAATTGTGGCAGTTACGATAATATTACAAAATTTGGATTTCATTACCAGTCTGTAAATGTTCGTAATAAATTCAGATAAACTAGCGAAGATTTCGCTACCTGAAAATAGAGAAGTGAAAATAACTAAAAATTTTCTTTTTATGATATCAGAAGAATAACAAAAATATAAACTCACGGAGCTGAAACTGCTGAGAGATAATTCGATGATTTTTCCGGCCGTAAGTCTTGGTGGATACTGAGATATCGAGATCAACAGAATAAGGTCGTAAGCGTTCTTAGCTGGTAAGTTATACCATTCGATTTTATAAGAATGTATACCGATTTGGCTACACTAATTACGATTATTGATCATATTTAATGAAATAGATAATGTCTAAATTAGCGAAGTTCGTTTGCAACTACCTGTTCGGAGAGGAGTTGACCTATGTAACAAAATATAAATACATTAAACGTAAGGGAGGTCAACAAAGTGACATAAGTCATTATAGCGATTGTGTCGTTGTTGCGCCATTCCTGAAAAATGTAAGATAAATAACACGTTTCTACAACACAGTGAATCTAGTTTTCCAAATTAATATCCAACATGTGTAGATACTGATTTAAGTTCTTACCATCAGGCAACAATATTCAAGCAGACACATAATAATCGTGGACTCGACGATTTCCACCAAGAATATTTCTCGCAAAGCTTCTTCTACACTCTTCGAAAATCTGAAACATCCATGTACTCGCTTCTCCAATTTTTCCTCCGTATCATAGACGGTACGTTCTTACCTTAAAATTTCCACATGATCGTGTACGATAACACACAGGAGGTGATGTTCACCATGCTCTCTCACTCTACTCTTCAACAAATCGTGTAGTCTTGTTATTTGTATCTCAATTTGTCCACAAATGTGGGTAACGAACGTCGAAGCCAAACTATATGCAAGTACTGTGATACTGCACATAATCAGTCCCGTGAAACAATGTATAGTAAACACGATTTCATACGTAGGACTAGACTGAGAATCCAAGAGCCAATCAGAGCCAGGATAAGCCAGTTGTCTGAACGTGTTATTTTCGCCATTATTTTCCTTCGAAG